ATATATATATATCATGTCCTGTACTCCAAATTCGTGAATTTCGGATCATCCAGTATAGAAAAGGATAAGAAATCACTAATCAGAATTAGTGAACCAGAATTATCAGTGCAATCATTAAAACATCAATTTATACATACACGTATATAGTATAGACAGAATATAAACCCAGGTCAGAATTATAAGATTTCTTGAATGTACCAGTGTATAGGTATACAGTAAATAATATTTATTTACAATTACAATATATTTTTGCGGGTGGGCCCAGACAACTGAATTATGTCTGATACGCAAATATAATCTTAATGTCTGCTTCATGCAGAACAACAATTACTGTATTATGAACACAAAATTGTATGCGATAGTTTTGCAATATAGTTAAATTATAGTTACATGCTATTAGCCTATATTTTGAGTCAGGCGTCACATGTATGAACATAATAATTTAAATTTAAGACAATTCAATATAAAAATATGGGAATTCAATTATGGAAAAATGGGCCTCTACGTTTACGTCTTATTACCTATATATCTATTAATTACTTACAGTTTAGATTATCAATATTGTTCATGTTATCTCCTATTCTAGAAACATTAGCAGCATTGTGCGTGGTATTGTTTTTGTAACAATACAATCCATTTAAATACTATCTCATTGTAACTTTTAAGTGAAAAACTCCTGTCTCGTTATGCCCTAGCACACTTTAAACACTTGTACGCACATTCATCCGTCCTTAGGCACATTACATACTCTACATAAAAGCACATCACAATCATGTTTGAGCTGATCTCAAACGGTCTTTGCTCACTTGTGTTTTCTGACCAACATGATCATAAGGATGTGTACAGGCTACATATGAGACAAGTTGTATGAGAGCAGCAATGATCATAAGTTGGCATGAGACTAATAGGAGTTTAATATGAATAAAGAATACGCTCATGTAGCATAGCGCTTGGTCCAAAGCCGCGCTATGCGATCGTGTTCTTCTCTATTTTGTAGGTATTGCGTGGCTATACTACCTACCAGTGGATCAGCTGCAAGATAAAATTATTTAAGATCCACATAATTACGTCAAAAGAAAATATGTTATCTAAAGAATGTTATTTTAAAAACAAACAAGATATTGTAAATTTATTCATATTATTTACAATATACATATACATTAATTTTAAATAAATTTTCATAAATAATGCACCTACCTGGATTGCAGTCTGTTAAAAGGGAACATATTGACAGTAAGACTTTTGAAATTGTCAACGCAGGAGACCAATTATCCTTTAAGATGTCCAAGCAAATAACTCCTTGACTATTTATATTGCAATGGTAGATGCGTGTTCGGAATGTAACCTGTAGAGCAACACATTTTTGAAACATAATTATTAAAACGTATGTCGCACTCACTACTTTACTAAAACAAATTAAATAATTGTAAATTTTCTAAGAATGTTTTAGATGCAAGGAATTACTAATATTGCAACATTTACTAACCTCTCTATACAGATAATTATTATGTGATAAATATTAATGTAAATATTTATTTAAAATATACAGATATTTCAAGTCTCATATAAAAATAATAATAATTTAAATAATACTTTTATTTAAGTTTTTATTTATTTTCTTCACTTTGAGGCTGTTGTTATAATCCTGTATAAATAAATATTATCTTCATAATATAAAATTAATAGAACTATCAACTTACCTTAGGAGGTTTAAAAGGATATTCTGGCGAGAAATGTATATCAAGAAAGAATACACCACCCTCATAAACCGAACCTGGAGGACCCAATATGGTAGATACCCATTCATACAAGTTATCACCTTTTGGTCCTGCACTATAAAATAAGTTAATCAAATTAATTTTATTATCTATATATTATTCTCATAAGTATAAAATTGTTCCATAATTCATATTATTATGTAACTACAATTCTGCAAAATATTATTTCAAAAAGAATTATAACCAATGACAATAGTATTATACCTGCAATTGGGAGGTGGATCTAGCGTAATTTCTGCCAGTTCTTTCTGTATCCTAAAATATTAATATTAAAAATATTTAGTAACCACAAATTATTGTAATGTTAAAATAAATACATTTATCACCATGTATTACGAAATATGGCTCTATTGCTTTACCTCTTAGCGGACGTTCCTAAAGCTTTCGACATCTTTGGATTTGGCTTAGCTTCTTTACTGTCTGGTTTATTGTCTGCCAAAGAAGAACCACGACCTCGCCCAGTTCCACTGGAACCTGCTCCTGACGACATGACTCTGTAACAAAACATATATTATTAATTACATAGAAATTTTTGCAAATTATAAATTTAATGACCATAAGTGACAAAAGGACAAGCATTATAAAAGCAAAACTAATTTTGAAACATAGTAATAGAAATATAATAATAGAGTATAGTTGAAAACACATTGCGCTTTTGCCTTTGTTTCCCTACAGTCATATAATGCATAAATCAAATCAATTGCGAAAGAAAGGAGAAACACTAATAGATCGAGTTTTGTGTGTGTTTGTGGAAACTAATGTCACATATGCAAAACTAAAGCGGAATAAACAGATCTTGTAAAGTAACAAGCACAAAAGCACAATTTGGATAGCAGTTCAGAGTATTGAAAACGCGATGATGTAAATTAATAATGCACCGTGAATCAAACGCTTCCGAAAACGGTCGTCTTTTTCTGTGTCTCGACAGGGAGGCGACGAAGTCGTACAACAAAGAATCTCGGTCAAACACAAAACACAGGATTTTCTATTCTTTGCCCTTCCAACCGTCCCCTCCCTTCCTGCGCGAGGAAAAACATAAACATCACGCGTATTTGATCGTCATCGGAGAAGTGTCCTGTCTCACTCGGGACGGATATCTAGCGCGTCGTATTTTTAATAACTAAACAGCGTCTCGCATAGCGTTGTCTAGCCCGAAGCCCGAGGAGAAACGACGTGCGAATCGAGGAGAGATGTACATGACGGTCCGCTGGGTAGACTGAAAAAGAAAGGAATAAGATTCGTTTAACGTCATCAGTGTGTTTGTTGCCTCCGATCGGGCGACTCAAGGGGGGTTCAACGCGCCCAAAATTGATTTCCCTTCACGGACGAGTACGCGTTTTTCTCTCTCTCGCTCTCTCGCCTCTGTCTTTCTCTCAGGCTTCCTCTCTCGTAGCTCTCGCGCAGGCAAGATGCAAGTGGAGACTCTGCGACAGGCGATAGTGAACGCCGGGTATATTCTCGCTCGTAGCTCGGAACGACCGACGTACATTCCCCGATGTGTCGTCTACATGGATCTCCCTGACTCCCTCTCCGTTCTCTATAGATATCCGTGTCCCTTTTAGGACACACGCACACGCACAGTGTCACTTCTAGCTGGCTTTCCTAACCCTCTCCTTTACTCCTCCGCGATTATTCGTTCGCGAGCCGAAACGGCTGATAAACGCGGTGCTGCGTTGATGTACCTCGTGTCCGATGTGTCCACGCCGTGTTTGCTGTCGTCTCGCGGCAAGCGTAGCTTCGCCGGGTCGCCGATGGTAGGGGATGAGGCAGGGAGGCGGGGAAGGACCGGTCCGCCGCTTCAGATGCGAGATCCGCGAGACGATTCTCTACTTCCCTCGGTACGGCGACGGTGTCGCCGGGATAATGGAGCCGCGCGGATCGGGGGTGGGATGCATACGGCGGCGGCGGTGGCGGCGGCGGCGGCGGCGGAGGCAGCGGAGGTGGCTCCGGCTTCGTTATTGTCCTCGCGAGTCAGGTCAAGCGGGAATAAGCAAAGCTCGCGAATAACCCACCCTATTACAAGATCGTACCACTCTCGATACAACAGCAAGAGCAACAGCAATAGCACTCATATAAAACGCGCAGCGCACAGCGAATCGGCGCGGTTCTGTCGCGGCCGTCTTTCAGTGGATCGACGGCGACGGCGACGGTGATAATGATGATGATGATGATGATGATGATGACGGTCGTGGATACGCGACGACACTAGGAAATAATCATGGACAAGCGCACGAACGAGAACAGCGGATTTCGAATCGCCCTCGTGGATTGTCCTGTCCCGGAAGCCCAGCGCTCCTCAGGCCCTTGTCCTCGTATCGTGACCATTTATCTCACTTTCATGTTCCGAAATCACGATCGCGGTGTCCTTCTCCCCTCGGCGAGCGCCGAAACGTGCGCATCTCTGCGTCGCCGGATGTTGACTCTGTCGCCGCGGCGGCGGACGCTGGCAAACCTGACGACGCGTTTTCACAGGCGCTGTGATCGGCACCGTGGAACCCGGCGCGCCCGGCGCTACCGGCACCCACAGGCGGTGTTTTTCCCTGCGGCTGGGGGGGACCCCGACCGTCGCGATGGTCGCGATCACCGACCGACTGGAAAATTCCCTAGCGCACCGTGAGAGCGCGTAGTCGTCGACTACTTTTCTCTCTCTCTCTCTCTCTCTCTCTCTCACTCACATTCAAATCACCTTATTACAACGCATTATTATCTATTTTTGTAATTATGTTTTGCTATGTAATTATGCGTTTTCAATTTTTAAAGAGAGGAATATTACGTATCGCTTAATGAAGTAATGACTCTTTGTTGACTCTCTCTTTCTCCCTCCTCTCTCTTTTCATCGTTATTTTGTATAAACTTTAAATCTGCTCAGATATATTTTTTTTTATTTTTGCACTTGAACTTTTTTTTGATCGTTTTCGCCTAATATTAAACATACATCTTTTATTTGAAGTCCTAAAACTATATAATAGACTATAGAAAAAAAAAAAAAAAAACTAGAAAACAGATCTTTTATATCGTTATCATGCGGTGCGTACACATTCACCAGCACCATATATTGAAGAATAAGACATTTCTTTGAAAAGAAATTTATGAAGCTGCTATTGTTACCCATATGGCCCATTTTCACAATATATAGGATTATCTAAAGATTAAGTTACCAACAGATTCATTAATTCATTCATGAATTTCTTGATTACCCTTAATCTTTAGGTAACCCTATTGTGAAAATGGGCCATATAGATAACAATAGCAAATTCATAAATTTCTTTTCAAAGAAATTTATCTCATTCTTCAATATGTGGAACTAAATAATGTACACACCGCATGATACAAAATAATGCAAAAGATCTGTTTTTTCTATAGGTTTTTTTTCCGTAGTCTGAGATTTATAGTTTGTTTTCTACAGTTTTGGAACTTCGAATAAAAGATGTATGTTCAATATTTGGCGAAAGCAATCAAAAAAGTTCTAGTGCAAAAATAAGAAAAAAAACTTCGATCAATTTAATCAGCGATTAATCCAACCAAGAGTTGCTCGAATCGCTGAAAAATGTATTCTAATTAGTCGTAGTCCTTAATTTAATCTTGTTTTCCATATATTATTAGATGACAAAAAATTATTCTGCTTTAACAAAATATAATAATATAATGTGAATATTTTTTGATAAATTAATTGCCAATTAAGTTAAATCTCATTGTTCGAAATCGCTGTATCTAATTGATGTCATTCAACACGTTAATTACATGCAACTACTCTTTAGGAACTTATTTTTAAATTCTGTTACACATATATGATTTTTCTACAAGGTGATTCATTTTTAATCTTTAAGCAAACATTTTCGAAATATTTATCTATTAAGATTAAATTGAATCATCCCGTATAACAGAAAAATTCCAGAAGCATTTTTAATAACATATTAAATCCAATTTTCTCGTATTTCAAATAAATATATTCGGATTAATAATCTTATCTTTTTATTTTTATAAAAATATCTGCATATAAAAAAATATTAAAAATCCTAAATAAATTAATGTATATATATTTCCTACTCTGCAAATAAATTTTTTTTCAGTTCATGAAAACCATAAGTCTCTTATTTCGAATAACATCTTAAAATAATTTGAATTTTAATATATGTATTATAAATTGGATGAAGCATTTCTTTTTTACTATCTCCAAACGGATATTGATCTTTATATTTCCAAGGTAAATAAGTATCTCTGCTTGTATCTAAAAGTTATCTGTATGCAATCGAAATCAAAAGAAGATACGCGCATCGATTCCGATGAACAAACTGGCGCAAGTCTAATTCTAACGGCTCATGTTTGTCCGTCGTAACTATGACTACAACTTGCTAAGTTAAGAGAGAAATATCGTGTTGGAGACATACGACGTTCCTATAGGAAATACTCGATCGGCACACAAGTGTGCGAATTCACGACGACGTTAGAGACAATCCTGGCGAAATGAATGATAAGGATGACAGTGCTTGGGTGTTCGACTCCTTGATTGGATTTTTGCAAGGTCCTATTTGGTCCTCGCCCCTTTTGAGTTTCATCGAGGAAAAGTCCCTCGGTTCGTACCATTGGAAATACTTTTCTTTTGACAAATCTCATCAGTTCTTCGAGCAAAAGGATCCTATACATATACCCAGATAGCAAAGCATGTCTCAGCAAAATCGCACAAATCTGTGATTGCTAATTATGATGCTGGCAACTTGTCATAAATTTGTCTTCAATGATTTCAAACATATCGACATTATAGCAACATGCAGACAACAATGTGTATATGTATTGCCAGCAGTTTAACAGCAAGATAACTGCATCAATATTAGCTTGCGTTGTCGGCAATATGATAATATTGTATGATGCTGCGCATATTATTGTATGATGGCAATATGATGGCAATAGTACGAATTTTAATGATGACGATTTTAAAGTTGTCGGCAAATTGTTACTCAATTTTATATCGCGAAGGCATCAAGTTGCCAACAAATGAGGACTCACAGTTGCTACAATTCTGGTAGCAATACATACCTAGCAAGTTACAAGACGACACATTGCTATCTGAGTATTATATGGAAAATTGGATCTTGGAAATGAATTAGTTTTTACAAATAATGTAACTTATAATGTGGACAAAAAGGTCATAAACATGAGGCTCAATGCTTCCCCATGATTGATAATACAAATCAATACAAATGTCATTCTATCTTTATTACTCTTTGAATGGTAAGAAAGAGAGAATGATTGCTTATGTCGCCTTGTCACTAAATGGAAAGTCCTCATTAAGGATAAATTTTGAGCTATGATGCTCTGAGTTTTACATCTCTGATACACTAGTTCAAAAATATCTTTGTTACCATCATATTATAAGTGTTATATATTATATAAAAAACCGCGCGATTCATTTCACCGAGACCAAATTTTCTATATAATTAGTATAAGAGCTTTTTTTGATGTAGAAAGAATAAAGAGAGATCTTATAGTGTGGCTTATAACGGAAGCACCACACACACACACACACACACATACACACACATTCGTGTAAATTAATACCTTTCAGAATGTGTTCGTATAATTTCTTCGTAATGGAAGTAGAAGTCTTCCTGGAATTGGAAAACTTTTCGCCGAGTGTTGTATAATATAAGGCGCATTTATTTGTAATAACATAAATAAATATTTTATTAAATCTTTCCAATATATTGTAGTTTTCGAGGCTAACACCGAAGATTGCGAAGAGTATCGGAAAATATATCAGGAGTACAAAAACTTGGTCGACTTGCTGCTTGGATGCTTTATGGAAGATATGGGTATCACACCGGAACAATTCGAACACGCATGCACCGTTAACAGAGATACAAAGATCCCGATACATTTTCAACAAGTATGACCATTACACATACATCCATAATGTCTGTATGAAGAATTACATTTCACTCGTGCTTTGTTTCAGAAGATTAAAACCGAGATTTGTTTCCGCGACATTAAAAAAAAAAGAAGATTGACATTGTATATAATATTTAAAGATTTTTTATGCATTCGAGGAGACGCTATTAGCACTTTTATCATTCTATCTTGG